TAAAAAAAAAAAAAAAAGTCACCAGCTGAGAGAATGGGGCAATACTGAAGACTGCCTCTTTCAAAAGTGGCCATGGAGCCTGGTTATGCCTATTAGTGAACTGTTTCTAAAGGTTTCCCTAAAATGAGCAGTTCTTACAGGAGCTTAAACATACAAAGGTATAGTTTTTACACACAAAATAATAATGTAGAATTCATGTCTTCTGATATCATTTTATCCGTCAGTCCAACACAAATGTTAGAAGAGAGATACTTCCACTTCAAGCTGAGATGGAGTCAGTCAGACCAGTGTACCTTTCCACCGTATGTATGCACCCACAGATCTGAAACAATTATTTTCAAGATACTGAACATTAGGAAGTGAAGGACAGTGATACCCAAAATGATGATTTTTTATTTATTTTTTTTAAACGTTTATTTATTTTTGAGACAGAGAGAGACAGAGCATGAACAAGGGAGGGTCAGAGAGAGAGAGGGAGACACAGAATTGGAAACAGGCTCCAGGCTCTGAGCTGTCAGCACAGAGCCCGACGCGGTGCTTGAACTCACGAACCGCGAGATCATGACCTAAGCCGAAGTCGGCCGCTTAACCGACTGAGCCACCCAGGTGCCCCAAAATGATGATTTTTTAAATAGACTATTTTTAAGAGCAAGTTTAGAGTCACAGCAAAATTGAGCAGAAAGTGCAGAGAGCTCCCAAATATTCTTTCCTTCCCCCCCTGACACACAGCTTCCCTAAGAATCAGCATCCCACACCAGAGTTGTACACTCATTATGATGAGGAACCTACATTGATACATCCTTATCACCCAGAGTCCATAGTTTACCTTAGGGTTCACTCTTGGTGTACATCCTATGGGTTTTAACAAGTGTATAATGTGTGTAATGACATGCATCCACTATTATAGTATCCTACAAAATAGTTTCACTACCCTTAAAATCTATGTTCTGCCTATTCATCCCTCCCTCCCTATTAACCCCTGGGAACCACTGATCTTTTTACTGTCTCGGCAGTTTGCCTTTTCCAGAATGTCATATAGTTAGAAGAATCATACAGTATGTAGCCTTTTCAGATTGCCTTCTTTCACTTAAGTGATACACATTTAAGATTTCCTCCATGCCTTTTCATAGCTTGATGCTCATTCCCTTTTAGCATTTAATGATATTCTATTGTCTGGCCTTACTACGCTTTATTTATCCATTCACCTACTGAAGGACATCTTGGTTACTTCCAAGTTTGGGCAATTATGAATAAAGCTGCTATAAACATCCATGTGCACATGTTTGTGCGGACATAAGCTTTCAGCTCCTTTGGGTAAATAACAAGGAGCACAATTTCTGAATCAGATGGTAAGAATATTTTTAGTTTTGTAAGAAGCTGCCAAACTGTCTTCCAAAGTGGCTGTATTATTTTGCATTCCTGCCAGCAAGGAATGAGAGCTCCTGTTGCTCCACATCCTCTCCACCATTTGTTGTCAAGTGTTTTAGACTTCAGCCATTCTAATAAATGTGTAGCATTACCTCATTGTTGTTTTAATTTGCATTTCCCTAATGACACGATGTTGAGCATCTTTTCATATGCTTATTTACCATCTTTTTATCTTCTTTGGTGAAGTCGTCTGTTCAGATCTTCCACCCATTTTTTAATTGGGCCGTTTTCGTATAGTTAGGTTTTAAGTGTTCTTTGTATATCTTGGATAACAATCCTTTATCTGATGTGTCTTTTGCAAACATTTTCTCCCAGTTTGTGACTTGACTTCTCATTCTGTTGACAGTGTTTTTCACCGAGCAGAAAATTTTAATTTTAATGAAGACTAGATTATCAAGTGTTTCTTTCATGGATTGTGCCTTCTTTAGGGTGGTATCTTAAAAAGCCGTTATCTTGCCCAAGGTTATCTGGATTTCCTATGTTATCTTCTAGTAATTTCATTGTTTTGGGCTTTGCATTTAATTCTCTGGTCAATTTTGATTTAATTTTTGTGAAGTATGTAAAGTCTGTGTCTAGATTCATTTTTTGTGGAGTGGATGTCCAATTGTTTTAGCATCATTTCTTGAAGACTTTTTCTCCATTGTATGTTGTTGAGTATCAGTTGACTATATGTATGTTAATTTGAGTTCTTTATTCTCTTCCATTGATCTGTTTGGCCATAATATTGTCAATACTACACTCTCCTGATTATTGTAATTTACAGTAAATCTTGACCTCAGGTAGTGTCAGTCCTCCAACTTAGTTCTTCTCCTTCAATATTGTGTTGCTATTCTGAGTCTTCTGCTTCTCTGTAAAAAGTTAAAATCAGTTTGTCAATAGTCTCAAAATAATGTCCTGGGATTTTGGTTAGTATTACATTAAATCTATAGATCAAGTTTGAAAGAACTAACAACTTGACAATATTGAGTCTTCCTATCCATGAACATGGGGTGATGAATTTTTTAATGTTTTGCAAATAGGTAAGAGATGCTTTAATTCGGAAAATTACTGATACGTTATTTAAAAACAATAGTAAAATCAGTGGGTTTTTTTAAAGGACACTCTTTGATGACTTTAATTATAAAAATTATTAAATATCCCCCAATTTTTTTTTATCAATGCTTAACAATTCATTTATTCAAGAAATATTTATTGAATACTAATAGAAGCCAAACACTATACCAGATGCTGGGGATAAAAAAAAAGCATACAAGACAAGGTTTTTCTTCTCTAGAAGATTGCAGTTTAGAGGGAATGAGAAATAGGGGATTGCACTGTTGTTTCATAAGGGTTACTGATCAATGTAAAAACTACAGGGTACTCTGGAATCAACTAAAAGCAAAACTTAGCTTGAAGGATCAGGGAGGGCTTCCTGCAGAGGGTGACATTTCAGGTGAGATGACTCCTTCTCTTCCCAACTTTTAAATATTGAAGGACTCCATCCTCTTGGCTATCAACATCCAGTCCCTAGACAATTGCATCAATTTCAAGACTAAACAACAGCTTGGGCTCCTGGGTCCCAACAAGATTCCAGCACTCCTGACTTCTCTCTTGAACTCTAAACTCAGATATCCAACTGCCTACTAGATATCTACATTTGGATGTCTAAGAAGTGTTTCAAATTTAATATAAGATAGTAGTCCTGATTTTCTCCTCCAAACGCAGTGTCTCCCCAGTCTTCCCACCTGTTACTTAATCTGAAAATCTTGGAGTCACTCATGACTTCTCTTTTTCTCTCTCATTCCACAGTCAATTCATGGGCAAGTCCTGTTGACTGGTCTCAAAATAAATCCCAACCAACTCCAATGACTTCCCCCACCATCTCCCTAGCTCACACCCATCATCTCTTATCTGAACCATTGTGATAGATTAGTGGCTCTTCCCTCAATTCCAGCATTGTTCCCTACAGCAGCCTGAGTGATTTTTTTTTTTAATACCTATGATGTCAGTTTCCTGCTCTCAGTTTTCAAGAGGCTTCCTACAACACTTAGACTAAAATCCACATTTCGTCCAATGACACACCTAGATTATTTGGCCCCTGCTTGCCTCTCATTTGTTTCTTATTGCTCCTACTTTGGCTTACCTCCCTCTTGTTATAGCTGGCTTGTATGCTGATGCTCACAAGTGCCATTCTCATTTTCTTATCAAAGCCTTTTCATTTGCTCTTCCCTCAGCCCAGAACTTTCTTTCCTCAGATCTTGGCAGGGGTCTAGACTCACCCTTCACATTTCAAGAGCCCAAGGCAAAAGTGAAAATAGAGACTCTGTATCTTGTGTTTAAAACGATTAGACAACAGAGGTGCCAGGAGACTCAAGTCAGTTGAGCATCCGACTCTTGATTTCAGCTCAGGTCATGATCTCACGGGTCATGAGATTGAGCCCCGCATCGGGCTCTGTGCTGGGCGTGGAGCCTGCTTGAGATTCTTTCTCTGTTCCTCATGTGCAAGCTCTCTCTCAAAAAACAAACAAATGAATAAATAAATAAAATGCTGAGACAACAAACTGCCAAATGAAATAGATTATATTCTCTTGCCTTGACAAATGGACTTTCTTGGTGACAATTTTTCTTCAGTGGAAAGCTATGGTTATTACATGACATAGTAGACAGTATCAAAGATTTCTAAATTTAATAATATCTATAATGACTATCAAAATTTTAATTAAATTGTCTAAGTAAAGATGAAATTGTATTTCTTTTTTGGAAAAAGCATGTAAATTGTAGTAAATATTTTTATACACATAAAACGACCCACAATTCTGGTGTTCAACGTCCATTTAATTTCAGTGTAAAAAGTCGAATTAATTTGTATCTCCAAAACTACAAATCAGAACATGAAAAGAGGGAAGGAAGTGGACATTTAGCATCAATGGGAAATAGTTTTTCACCATGCAAGAATATGTTATTTTCCGAGAGGAATCTGACAACCCCATATAACCTGTCTTTCACCTTAGCGCCGCTGTTACTTGTATCCTCTCCAGCTTGAACCGCGGAGCAACTCACCCACCCTAACAGCATTAGGACACTGTGGCCTTTAGTTTTGAGGTCACAGCCCAAGAGATTTCTGACAAGAGTTTCCCTGGAGCCTGAGCAGTTTTATTCACGAGGAGAGACATTTAGGGTCCCTCGTTGTGCTGTGCCAGCACTGAGCGCCAGGTTCTGAGTAACAGAAGCACTCATGTGTTCTCTACAAATTTGTTTTTGTGTGTTTGTGATATGTGGGTCCCTCTAGCCAGCAGAGCCTGGGGAAACTGCCCTCTTGCCTGAGCCTAAGGGTGATGTTACAAAGCTCATGCCTATGATTCTTCCAGGCTTTGATTCAAACACCACCTCGTTAGGTACTCCCCAACATGCATGCACACATAAATGCCCACATATACACACATGTGCCCTTATAATTCTCTAGTCTCTTTTCCAGATTTAATTTACTTCAGAGTACTTATTCCTACCTGACGTATGCTGTGTACTAATTTTTTATTGTGTATGTCCCCACATACAGAATATGTAAGCTCTGTAAATAAATATTCCCTAACTCTTTCCTCTCTGGGTCACTGCTGGGCAGTGTGTGCGTGTGTTCAGGGTCAGTGAACAGGAGCATCAGCTAGAAAGAAGGTAACACACGGAATGCAGGAAAATTACCCAGTTTGCTGTTGTCCAGGGATACTTCTGACAAATACCATAAAATAACTACTGTTTGCAGACTTGTGTGTTTGCAATTAAAACTAAGGGTATCTTCGATAGATTTTTTTGGTTTGGGAGTAAAGCAATGAAGGCTAATTGCACACGTTCCCCTTCAGTTTTCTGCAGTGAGAACTTGAATGCATCCTCTGAAGTCCTTTCTCACCCTCTGTGGCCCCTTAGCTTGTGTCCTTAAATGAGCTCATAAACACCTTACCGAAATCAGATCCTCACCCTTACAAATATGTTTACATGATAATATCATTTACTAAATAATAAAATGTAAAGTGAGAAAGATAAGTCCTAGCTCAATAAAACTCAAATGGAAAAACAATTAGCAAGACAGCTACAATCTAAATGCAAACAAAAAATATTCTCATACATAATTCTCATAAATAGAAAGTTCCTGTATTTCCTGAGCTTTTTCTTTTCGTTCTTTCTTTTTTCTTCTTTTGGTCTTTTCCTCCTCTAGTCTCTTAGTCTTTCTCTCAAACCATCACTCATAGATTATACCGGTAAAAAGTACATACAGGAAATCATTGTAAAAAATAACGTTAATATGTCATGACTGAAGCCAAAAATACATAGTTTCCTTATAATAGCAGTGAAGGAGAAAAAAATGTAGAACTCATCCCATTAAAAGGGTTATTAATAACACTTCACTAATAACATAGACTTCACTGGGTCAGCAGTTTAGCTCAAACAGTCCCTGACAGCAAGCAACCTCATCAGGGTTTGGTTCCTTTTTTCTTTTGAAATGTTTCTTTGCTAAATTGTTTCTGGTGTGCCTATGTCAATGGCTTCAAAGCATTCCTTTTCTTTTTTTTTTTTTTTTTATTTTAAACTTTAAAATGTATGCTCTCCCTTCAGAAGTTTCATACAGCCTTCTAAGCGGTTGGAAATTGAACCTTTTCATGCCAGTAATGATGATCAGTTAGCTGATGTAAACATTCAGTAGCTATCCAAAATGTCTGCATCAAATGCTAAGTAAAAATATGAGATTTCATGTTTTATTCTAAAGACATAGACTCTTTTATAAATAGACATCATGAATTAAGAGTGATTTGTGGTTTCCTTGGAAAATTCTGCCACCTAGAATTTATATATAGGAATCTACAGCTAGAAAAATGAGGTAGACCCCAGAGTTTTAGGGAGAAGACATGTATAATTCTACACAATATCTGATGGAAAAGAGGAGAAAGGAGGAAAGGAAATCTTAGTGATAGATTCACAGTGTTTCAGGAAAAGAATGATGTAATGTTCTCAAATTAACTTTACTACAGGTTTGAGCAGTACTCTGGGTACAAATTGCATGGCCTAGAGCCATGATTATCTCTGTTTATCTGTAGAAGAGTGTGTTTTATTAACAAGGCTTTATTAAATTACTATGTGCCAGGAAGTGTGCTATCCACTAAAAGTGTAAAATGTAATACACATTCCAGGGAGGAAGAGCTACCTATTTTTAAAAAACAACAACAACAAAAACATCTCATTTAATACCCAAAAGAATCGAAAGCAGGGTCTTGAAGAAATAGTTGTATGCCCATGTCCATTGCAGCATTACTCACAATAGCTAAGACATGGAAGCAACCCAGTTGTCCCAGGACAGATGAACTTCTAAACAAAATGTGGTATATACATACAATGGAATATTATTCAGCTTGAGAAAAGGAAATTCTGACACGTGCTACAGTGTGGATGACCCTTGATGACATACATTATGCTAAGTGAAATAAGCCAATCATAGACATACACAAAAACTAATACTGTGTGATTCCACTTATATGAGGTACCTATTATGTTTAAAATCATAGACACAGAAGTAAAACAGTGATTGCCAGGGACTGGGGGAAGAGGAAATGGAGAGTTACTATTTAATGAGTATAGAGTTTCAGTTCTACTAGAAGAAAAGAGTTCTGGAGATGGGTGGTGGTGATGGCTGCATAACAATATGAATGTAATTAATGCCACTGAACTATACAGATAGAAGTGGTTAAAATGGCAAATTGATGCTGCGTGTATTTTATCACAATAAAAAAAAATCCAAAAAATGACCACGCTTTTTTAAGTATGTACTAGAAACAATGTACTGTGCAGTCACTGAAGAGGAAACAATTACCTCTGTGTCAGGTGGAGACATGACCAGAGAAGTCTTGCAGCACAGGGATAGCTGAGGCAAGGAGACACACAATACATTAGCCTTGGAGGCAAGGACACACAATACATTAGCACTTGCTCAGTCATTGCCACTTAACATCAGATTAACCAACACTCCTGTCCCGTCTAGAAACATACTGCCTGGAATCCATGGCTACTGGTTCCTGGTGGGAGTGACTGTCCTCTGGAGTGCCCCAGAGTTTCCCTCTCACTGAAGACTTGTGTGCTTATCACGTCAGACATGTTGATTCCCCAGAATGTGTGCCAATTGTATTAAGGATTGTAATTACTCAAATTAAGTATTTTGTAAACCAATTGTATTTCAGCATGAAAAGGAATAGAATTGTTGGTCTCTAAAAACGTACGCTTTGGAAATTCTCCATGAATTAATCCCTATTAAAAAAATTGAAGTTGTTGTTGTATTGTGTAGGTAAGACACCTAAAAGTAACTGCATTTATTACTTTGCAAGTGCACTTAAATTTCTCTTCCTCTTTAATGAAAAATGCAAAAAAGATAAAAATAATGCAAGATCAATTATGAGAAACTTCAGTCAGCAGACCTGTTCTCAAAGAAAAAGCCTTGGACCTACACTGAAGTTTGACGACTAAATGAGACATTTGTATTTTAATTATGAACAGCTCAATATAGATACATAAAATTACGTACATAATCTTTTATCAATTCTCTTTCTCTACCACACATCAATTACAGGTATGGTTTCCTTGGTTCAGAAGATATAGTGGGTCACCCGGCTGACTCAGTTGGTAGAGCATGTGATTCTTGATCTTGAGATCATGAGTTTGAGACCCATGGTAGGCCTGGGGCCTGCTCCTGAAGCCAAGACTACACTATATGTTAACTAACTTGAGGGGAAAATAAAAGAATTAATAAATAAATATTTTTTGAAAAGAAGACATAGTGGTTTATTTTTTTATGGGTAGTTGGGCAAAACTTCATTGGAAGTACATCCATAATATATTTAAAGATATCATTTTAACCTTTGCCTAATTTTTATGTAACTTATGTAGAGGGATAGTGTTTAACTTGGGATTAGTATGTTATTCAAATGGACTCATTCTTCTGAAAAGTAAAACCGAAGTTCCACATGAGAAAATGGGAAGGCATAAGAATTAAATTAGTAATAATTGAAGGGGAAAGATGCAAGTTTCTAGGGTAAAAGACAACTCAGAAAAAACCCAATCACAGTGGGCCAACTGAAAGTAGAAAAATCCATAAGCTAATAAAGAAAAAGAGGAAGATTTCATTAGATCATGAGAGGCCATCCAATCCAAGTCATCCTCTTATGCAAAGATCACTTCGGAACATTTTACCTGCTTAATTCTGCACACTAGGTGGCGATAGGGAGGTTGCTGTTACAGAATGGTGCCAGTAGTATGTAGCCATAATTAGTGGGTTCTCCTCCCAGTACTAGGCCCATTGAGCTCTTTTCAGATGTGGAAAGAGGCAAACATTTTCTGGCCAGAGAGGTAAGCCAAAGGTTCTATTGTCCAGTGATTTTCTACTCAAATAAATGCTACAATATATATAGTTCTATGACATGGTTGGCCTCTGCTGGTAAGAATTTTCTTCACATGCTTGATTAGATCTGGATCCTTCATCTTTTGGAGATTTGCCCCCTGCACTTGTGGATACAGTTTGGGGAGGTCCAGTTTGGCTCTTTGATAATGTCTCTGGAGCTTGAAATGATTTCCAGTGGTGAAGCCCATCATGACCCATGTACCTCATATGAGGTAAGCCTATGACATAGTGGTTTAGAGCATAGACTCTGGAACCAGATTGTCTATGTTGAATTATGACTCTATCACTTATTAGCTGTGTAACTTAATTAATCTCTTTGCACTTTAGTTTTATCATCTATTTAATGGGGCTAATAATAGTAACTATCTAAGAGATTTAGTGTATGTAAAGCCTTAGAACAGTGCCTGACACAATAAATGCTATAGAAGGAACAGCTATTACCAGTACTAGTAATGGCACTGATATCCCTGCTACTGACTGTACTCTGCCAGGGACAGAGAGACAGAAGGATAGGAAGAGGAGCGGGCATTTGGAAAAGGGAATGGCCTGCAAACCACTGAGTTGTGAGCATGCCCACTGGAGGTGTATAGTACCTGGGGGGAAGATGGATGATGAGGTGGTCTCCCGTCCGGATGGGGATGCTGCTTTTCGGCCATCCCACTGCTAACCCACCCTACACCTTTAATCCTCTCTGCTCTCTTGATCACTTATTGTATGCCTGGTTTTGAGATCCTAATGAACGTAGAGATTGAGCGGTCTCACACTCTGACAAATTTACAATTTAGCAAAAGGTTCTCACACATAAATAATGCAAGAGAATACATGTTGTTAGGAATACATTATATATTCTGTATGTAAAAGTGTATTACTAGTGCAAAGAAGAAGGTGCAACAAACTGACCTGAGAGAGGCTGATAGAAAGTAATCATTGAGCTGGATCAATAAGAATTTATCCATAAATGGTAGCATAAAATAATAAGCATCCTGCATATATAGTTGCCATCACTAGAATTAATAGAAGAGGTCATCAGGGTGCTCTTTCCAAATACAGCAACAAACCTTCTGCCCTACACTGAAAGATTTGGAAAATATAACATCTGTATCACAAGGTCATGGGTATTTTCAATTTGACTTCTCCTTGATAAAACTCTGAAATAAATTGTTGACCCAAACCACCTATCTATGATTTAGTCATATGACTTCTGAAATATTTCTTTCCTCCATCTTCCTATTTTTTTTAGCTCTCTCGGTTAGACAACTGGCAAGATAAAAATGAACATGAAATGTTGAAAACAACCAAGAGAAAGCTATAACCATTGTTCACTGTCTTTCCCTTCAATACAATACAATAAAAGGAGATTCCATAAAATCATTCCACTTTGGTATCATACTTTATGGGCAATGTCATTCTGACATCATTATTCTGGGCCTCACGTTGACATTATAGAAATGGGGACGGGCGAGCTAACTTTTTCCTGAATGCTCACTAAAGATTGGAAATGGACAAAGAGGAGATCAAGCACTCAGTGGTGGGATTTGGCACAGAAAAGCAGCTACAGCATAGCTCTGACTTCTACCCCGAAATTTATTCATTGTGTGACATTGGAAAAGTTCCAGAACTTCTGTAAAATGTGGACACTAATTCTTACCCTCTGGTATTTCTGGAATATTAAGAAAAATAATTAAAATAGAATACCTAGCACATTATAGATACTTAGTAAATGTTTCTTGAATGCATAAACATACAAAATGCAGTTCTTTTTATTCTTCACCTTTTTCAAAAATACTTTATTGGTTTTTAATTTCAACAATAATTGTATCCATTTGCTAGGGCTGCCATCACAAAGAACCACAAATCGGGTGGCTTAAACAGCAGAAATTTGTTGTCTTGCAGTTCTGGAGGCTGGAAGTCTAAAAGCAAGATGTTGACAGCAATGTTGGCTCCTTCTGAGGGCTATGAGGGGAGGCGGTCGGTGCTCCAGGTTTCTCTCCTTGACTGTAGATGGCCATCTTTTCCCTGTGTCTTCACATCGGCTTCCCTCGATGCCTGTCTGATGCTCTGAATTTCCCCTTTTCGTAAGGGTACCAGTCATCAGAACACCTACTACAGTATGATCTCATTTTAGTTTAACTGATTACATCTGTATGAATTTCAAATAAGGCACATTCTGGGGTACTGGGGAGCAGGTAGGACTTTAAATATGAATTTGAGGGGGATATAATTCAACTCATAAAGGTAATGAAGGCTTTGTGTAGTAATTCAAGCAATAACAACATATGGAAAATTAATGTTCTCCTCCCCCAATTTAGTTCCATTCTTCTGCTTCCAACATTTTGGAATGTATCCTTCCATAGGTCTTTCTGTGACCCCCAACACCCCAGATATTACATAGTCCTATAGTTAGGCACACACCCACCTATACAGCCCCTTTATAAAAATTCAAATGTATTACAACTATTATTTAGCCCTTGTTATTTTCACTTCACAATATATCATGGATATTTGTCTAAATCAATGAGTGTAGACCTATGTAAATGTTTGAAAATATTCTAGAGTATACATAAAATAATAACCTATTCAATATTTGTCTTACTGGTAGATGTTCAGGGCACTTCAGCGTTTGGGGTGTTCATTTCTTAAATGCAGAAATATGCAGTTTCACTCAGCTGTTTCCTTAAAACTAGTGTTTCTATTTAGGTAAGTTAGATTCCTAGAAGTGACATTTCTAGGTCAAAGATCTGCACATTTAAATTCAATATTACGGGGCACCTGGGTGGCTCTGTTGGTTGAGCATCTGACTTTGGCTCAGGTCATTATCTCGCGTTCATGAGTTCAAGCACTACACCAGGCTCTGTGCTACAGCTTAGAGCCTGGAGCCTGCTTTGGATTTCTGTGTCTCCCTCTCTCTCTCTGTCCTTCCCGCATTCATGCTCCGTCTCTCAAAGAATAAAATAAAACAATAAAAACATTGTAAATAAATAAAGTTAATATTGCCAGGTGACTTTCATTTTTTTTTTAATTTTTTTTAACGTTTATTTATTTTTGAGACAGAGAGAGACAGAGCATGAATGGGGGAGGGGCAGAGAGAGAGGGAGACACAGAATCGGAAGCAGGCTCCAGGCTCTGAGCCATTAGCCCAGAGCCCGACACGGGACTCGAACCCACAGACCGCGAGATCGTGACCTGAGCTGAAGTCGGACGCCTAACCAACTGAGCCCCCCAGGCGCCCCCCAGGTGACTTTCAAAAACGTTTTAGCAATTCACACATTCACCAGTAGTGTCTAAGAGGTATCAGTTTTATCCACACTTTGGCCAAAGTAGATTTGGTCCATTTTTTTTAAATTCCTGTCTCTCCAATACATGAAACATATCTCTTTATTTCTTTAATGTACATATCCCTGACCATCACTGCGATACAGCATCTTTTTAAATGTTTACTATTTGTTTCCTTCATCCGATAATTACTAATCATCTTGTATACCCATTTTTCTGTTATATTTCTTGTCTTTTATTCATTTGCAAGAGTCATTGTCTAAAATAAAAGGGAAATTAGCATCTTCTAATATTTGTTGCAAATATTCTTTCCCACTCTATCATTTGTCTCTCAACTTTTTAATAGTGCCTTTTGACATTCAGAAATTTTATGTATATACTCAAGTCAATCTATTTCCTTAATGATCTGTGAATTTTTCTGCCTTGCCCATGAATGCCCTTACCCTACCCCCAAGATTCATAGTCTTCATTATATGCTAATATTCTCTTTGTATTTATTCAAGTTACAGATCTCTTTGTTTTTCTTTCAGGTGAATATTTCATTACCTTAATGCTATATATAAGGTAATTGTTCTTTTTCCCACTAAATTGAAATATAAGCATCACTCTATACTAAGTTCGTATTTTAAAGAAACCTTGAATCCATTCCTGTGCTCTCTGTTCTGTTTCATTGATCAGTTTGTTCATTCCTGAGCTAATATCCATATTATTTCGGTTGTAGTAGCCATGTAGGAAAGTTTACTCTCTGGTATGGCAAGTTCCCTTCATTGTTTTCCTTCAAAACTTTCTTGACAATACTCACGCACTTTTTCTTCCATGTGAACTTCAGAATGATTTTGATGGGTTAAAACCGACAACAATAACAACAGTGAGACTCTGATCGAAATTGCTTTCAATATATGTATATGGGAATATTAATGATTTTCCCTATACAGGAATCACACGCATCAACCATATGAGCTCAATAGGAAAGCTGTGGCTTAGAAAGGTCGTGTGCCTTGCTAAAGGCCATGCAGCTGGCAAGAGACAGCAACTGCCTTTAATGTCTTTCTGGCACAAATTCCATAACATTAATCACCTCCTTCATTGATATCAGAGAAGGAAAGTAATAAATTGAATTACTGAGGTTCTCCTGACTAAACTACATAGCAGCTTGACTATTTACAAAGCTGTCGAGGCTAGCAGGATTTGACCAAGCATGGCACCAATTTATAAGCAGATTGTTAGCTTTTATCTCAATAAATTGTTTCTCGTTTTTCAAAAGATCTATATAGAATAAGAATAAGAATAAAGTTCCATTTACTAAGTACCTGGAAGATTCCTGGTTCAAACACATCTTTACTGACACAAAATCTGTCATTATAACTTCACTTTTTTGGTTTAAGAATGTATTCTTCTAAAATGTAAATATTCTTGTTTGTTTGTTTGTATTAGAGAGAAAGTGTGTGAGCAGGGGAGAGGGGCAGAAGGAGAGAGAGAACCTCAAACAGGCCCCACGCTCAGGACACAGCCCACTGCAGGGCTCAATTCCACGACCCTGGGATCATGACCTGAGCCGAAATCAAGAGTCGGACGCTCAACTGACTGAACCACCCAGGTGCCCCTGAATGTAAATATTCTTCTACAGATTACTGCATATATTGGTGTGAATTGGTTTAATTGCTACTCTTTTAATAACCAGCTAGCAAAGTCTCTACTGATAAAGGTTTGCTCTTGGGTGGTGGGACATGGAAAGGGGCATGGCTTTAGAAGGTGGGACGCCACCTCAGAGTGGCCAGGGTTAAAAAGGATGCTGGAGGCTAGAAGAAATCTGCAAAGGCGGACAGACTAGCCAGCAGATAGCATAGAAGGGAGGTGGGGCCGAGTGAGAGACAAGAGGCCACCACAGTTACTTCACACTGTGTGTCCACTGGGCTAATCGGTTCTGCCCAGACAGCAGGAGACAAATGAAGCAAATCCTCTGGAAGAAATGGATGGCTGGCCTTGGTCTGCTCTCCCTCCTACACTGACAGGACTCATAGCTAGCTCGCCTATTCTCAGAGCAACCACATTTCTTAATAGGAACTCTGGCCACAGTTTGCCATCTCTGCTGCTCAGAAATAAAGCCCTTTTCAAAACATTTCAGAAAATAAAACAACAAGAAGGTCATCCTCCAGGGAAGAGCTTAGCCTGAAGCTGGAAACTGGTTGTTAACAGATGGACCCATCAGGCAGCAAATAGGAAAACAGGCGAGGACTAAACCAGGCAAATCAAAACTTGTCAAAGTCAGTTAACTGACCAGTCAGTACTATTGAGCACCAGCTATGTGCAAAGTGCTGGTTAAATCGAGTTTTAAAAAACCACTCAGTGTAACAGACCGATATGGGCTACACATCACCTGAACGCTCCGTAATTTTTGCATGTCTCCAACTCCCTTTTTGTTCTCGGCAGAATAAAATTAGATTCTGCCCCTCATAGGAAATCACAGTGGTGATGTCAAGCATAAATTTTCTACTCATTCTGCTTGTGTGTGATGTCTGTTTCTTTAAATTAGTGGATCAAAGTCATGCTTGTAATATTTTCTCAGAAGAAATCAATGGGTACAGCATAAATTGAGGAGCAAATAATTTTCATTATAGGGAGAAATAATGTCAACTTACTACTCCAGAATGTAGGATGAAGTATTAGTGATGTATTTGTTAACTTGGAGAGAGAGAGAGAGACAGACACACAGAAACCAAAAAACAGACTCTCAACTACAGAGAACAAACTGATGGTTACCAGAGAGGAGGCGGGGAGTGGGGGATGGGTGAAATAGGTGATGGAGATTAAGGAGTGTGCTTGTCATGATGAGCACTGGGTGATGTGTGGAATTGTTGAATCACTGTATTGTACACCTGAAACTAATGCTACACTGTATGCTTACTAACTAGAATTAAAATAAGAACTTTAGAAAAATATTCATTAACTTGGGGTGCCTGAGTGGCTCAGTCGGTTAAGCGTCTGACTTTGGCTCAGGTCATGATCTCACGGTTTGTGGATTTCAAGCCCGGCGTCGGGCTCTGTGCTGACAGCTTAGAGCCTGGAGCCTGCTTTAGATTCTGTCTCCCTCTCTCTCT